TTTTCCAATATGCCAATGGCATCTTTACGGTAATTTTTTCACACATTGCATTCAGTTACCATGCTCTTTAGTCTCCTTTATTCTGTAATGTTCTCTAGCCATTATTCATTTTTCACCATATTGGTGTTTGTGAAGAGCACCAGCATTTGTAGACTATTGCTCAATTTGAGTTTATCTGCATCATATAATTATTTTAAAAGCCAATTCCTATTAAGTTTTTCATATAGAATTAAATTTATAGTATAGTATTTGTAGCTGGGATCTCTCGGTACCCAAAAGTGCATGTATCAGTTAGTTCTCACGCTGCGTGAGACTGTGTAATTTATAAAGAGGGTTAATTGACTCACGGTTCCGCATGGCTGGGGAGGCCTCAGGAAACTTACAACTGTGGCAGAAGGTGAAGGGGAAGCAAAGACCTTGTTCACTTGGCGGCAGGAAAGAGAGAGCGAGGAAGAGCATGGAAAACTGCCTTATAAAGCCATCACATCTCGTGAGAAGTCACTCACTATCACAAGAACAGCATGGGGGACATCACCCCCATGATTCAATCACCTCCCACCTGGTCCTGCCCTTGAGAGGTAGGGGTTATGGAGATCACAATTCAGGATAAGATTTGGCTGGGGGCACAGAGCCAAACCGTATCAGTGCCTTTATGTTTAAACGTGGTCCTCTCCACGCAGGTCCTGTGCTTTGTTCAGCATCCTTTGGTGTCTGTCCTCTCCTGAGAGGGAGATGGGTGCTGCTATTGAAGGCCAAGACACCAGTGCTAACAATCTAGGTGGGGACAAGTTACAGTGGGCTCCCTCCCTGACTACACTGGAGTGAAGGAGAAGCTGTGGGCCAGACAGTGTCCACTGCAGGAAGATACAGCCTGGCCCACAGGGAACTTTGGCTGACAGTCCCTGGCATCCTGGCCTCTGTGGTCCTGAGGGCTTTTGTGGAATAGCTGACTTTGCACATGAGTTGGTGGGTCCTCCACTGCTTCAATGTTCAGCCACTAAACGAAGCTTCAGATGGAGACCCCAAGGCACAAAGGCATCCATCACTTCCCTGCGCATGGCTCCCCCTTGGCTAGACGCTGTATTGTTCACGCTGGTGTGCCCGTTGGTTACCCTAGGTGGGTGGGAGACTTTTCCACATGAACTTGCTCCCAGGAAGAGTGGCACAAGGAATGCAAGCCTTAGTCCTAGTCCTGCCAAGCACACACCCATTTCTTGTCAAGGAGGCATAGCACTTCCCTGCATCTGTCCTGAAGCTCAGGAGAAGCCCCATCCTATGTGTTCAGACAGTCTGTCTAGTACTTAGCAGGACAGGGCTGGCACAAAATGCCGAGGCAGAATGCAGGGCCCTCTAAGCACTAGGGAGACCCAGGGCCATGCAGATTTCAGAGCCCAAATGCAGCGTCAGAGACATTAAGTACCCAGATTGCTGGGTTCTCATGCCTCATGTGAGTTAGGGGACTCTGGAAGTCTAGACCAGTCCTGACAATAATGTTAGATAACTCAACAGCAAATAACAAGGAGTTAAATTGCATAGTCGTAGCTGCCAGGAGAGAGGCAGTCAGTGAAGGCTGAGGATTTGGGGAAAGCAGCTTCTTCCCAGACCTGTGTCTACTCCAGGGTGCTGACCCTGCAAGGCTGGATTCTCACCCGCTCCTGCTGTGGCTCTCGCCAGCCTCGCTCTTCCTGCTTTTCTCTTGTTCTGCCTTTCTGTGCTTCATCCCTCGGTCAGGGATTTGTGGAAACACCTTTCTAGAACCACAGAACAATGGTTCTTTGTTCTTTCTAGAAAAAAGCTTCTAGAAATGGTTCTGTGGAAAGAACACAGAACTTTCTAGAACAATGGTGCTCTCAGGGCTGGAGTTCTGAGCCCTACACAGGGCCATTTGGCCCAGCACCTGTGAATTTGCACTGGGAAAACCAGCTACACATCTATGGATGCGACCCTGTACATTCCAGTCCAAAAAAGATGATAAAAGGTTTTTTTTCCCCCCCAATAAAATCTTATTAGGGAATCTAAATAAATCTAATTAGAGAATAAAAGAGAATAACATCTAATTAGGGGATAAAAGAAAATAACCAATTTGGACATTTTTAAAAACTAGTGATAAAAGCTTCAGCCAAATTAAATTTAAAGTTTATGTGAGTAACAAACAATTCATGAATCAGGCAGCCTTTTGAGCTAGGGTGGGCTCAGAGGCTCCAGTGCAGCTGCATGATGGAAGAAGATTTATGGACAGAAAAAGGAAGCGAGGTATAGAAACGGCTGGGTTGGTTATGGCTTGGTGTTGGATTTATTAGAACACGGTTCAAAGAGTTGGCTACATTTGATTGGCAAAATTCAGTGATTGGCACGGGTATGGGCTGCAGTCTGTTTACACAGTTATAGTTTATGATGTACCAAAAATCCTTTAGGTGAAATTGAAAATATGTAAGAAGGCAGCTTTAAGCTCGACTTGATTTGACAATAGTGAGAAGAAAATTGTCAGAAGTAAAAATTGCCAGCCTGGACAAGAAGAATGAAACTCCATCTAAAAAAACCAAAATGGCCAACAATTTTTTTTAAGATGTTAAACTGGCTTGGATAAAACCCTTTTCAACACTGGCTGCTCGGCCCCGCCTCCCCCTGCCATCTGAATAAGGTCTTGAATAAATTCCCTGTCTGCTTTTCTCCTTAATTACAGAAGCTGGGAAGTGGCCTTTTCATTTGGTACGTTTTTTGGACCGCAAAGTCTTTCTCAGCTCATCAGTGCCCCCTGGTGGTAAGCAGGACGAGGGGACATTAACGAGTTCCATTGTTCACCGGCTGGTGACTGAAGGACATTTTCTCAGAAGCCCTGCACCTCCTCGCCTGTGACTCAGGTACACCTTCAATATTTTCTTGATGACAATATTTATTGATAGATTGTACTAAGTTAACAGCATCAAGCTCAAAAGCGGCACAGTTAAAAACCAAAGCCATTTCCTCACCCTCCTAGGGTCCATTTATTGAGACCCTAACATGTGTTAGAGACTTTACTGGATTTACTTTTCTGATTTTTATGACATTATATTTTCAATTGTGTGGAATGGACTACAAATTTTATTTGTGTGTATTCAAAGCACACTGTGAATGAAAGGTGCTTCCAGGAATCCCCGGCAGGAAAGGGAGTACAGAGTGGGAGAGCCAGGGCAAAGCAGGAGGAAGGCAGCCCTGGCAGGAACAGGTCAGCATGCAGTTTGGATCAATAGGGAAACAGCACATCCCTTCGTCTGCACAGGCTTCTAAACTTCGTGTGATTGTTTTCGGCATCACATGAGATCCTGAGTAAAAGGCTCTCACTGAGCCTGGGATATCGTGAACAGTGCACACGTGGTTGTTATTATTCACTTGGCAATGCCCTGGTCTTCCTGTTCCCTAACACTTCCGCAGTGGCAAGGAAAGGAAAGCATAGGAAGCCTCTTTGCAACCAGCTGGGGGCTGTGCTAAGGCCTCCGCCATCCTAGGGCCAGGCTCCCAGTGTTCCAGCTTTTTGATGTCCTGGCTGTTTCAATTAGACCCCACTCATGCAGGGAATCCTGTTAAGTACCCAGGTACATTAATTTTCCCTCAAAGTGCATCTGCTATGCATGGTTGGCTGACACGCAGACAGCCCCATCGCCAGCCAGGAGCCGTGGCAGAAGCAGCCCCGGAGTCAGACCCCTGAGGTTAGGCTGTGAGTTGCTTGGACACTCACTACTGCTTCACCTTGAGGTTCTTCCCTGGACCAACTGGTCTGTGTCTTGCCTGAACTCGGGTCCATTAGACGTTGACTTCACATTGTCCTAAGAAGTTAAATGAAAAAAGTCTCTGGCTAACGGGGGCAGGAGGCAGGGTGTGGGAACCGGCCTTGCCAGGAAAGGTGCAGCAGGCACACACAATTGACTGAAGAGGACAGCTGAGATTTATACGGAGGATTGCACCTACGCCTCCAGCCAGCCTTACGGTTCTCCCACTGCTGCCAACACTAAGGGCCCTGGGACAGTGGGCGCTGGCGGCTGAGCTCTGCCCACATCCACCCTCTCACAAAGCCGCGGAGTGGACTCGGCCTGGGAACCCTCGTAATTCAATTGCGGGAGGAGGTGCCGGGAGTGACCCCTCCACCGTGGGCTGTGGGCGTGGTGGGAGGATCATTTCACCCCAGGACAAGGGTGAGCACTTAGGAAGCTGGAATAGACACTTCGAAGCCCGAGATGGTCACTGTCCACGGCAGCCTCAGTCCCTTTTTCCCAGAACACCATTTAGCTGTTGAGCTAAATCATCCACTTGGCCCCTTAGAGCCTCGACCTCGTCACAATGAAGTAGATGAGGCCACAGAAGCCTTTGTTATGTCCACAAGCAGCTGGAGTCTGGCTTTGGCTGAGCCCTGGCAATGCCTGCCACACCCCAGACCAAGGTGATAGGTGGGTGGCTGCTGCGATCGGAATGTTTACACCCGCCCCGCCCACCCAAATTCATCTGTTGAAATCCTCACCGGCAAGGTGATGGGGCTATTAGGCAGGGCCTTTGGGAGGTGACAAGGTCATGAGGGCGGAACTCTCGCACGCGGAAGTCTTGAGAGCGGAACCCTCCTCGCGCACGGAAGGTCGTGAGGGCGGAACCCTCCCGCGCACGGAAGGTCGTGAGGGCGGAACCCTCCTCGCGCACGGGAGGTCGTGAGGGCGGAACCCTCCTCGCGCACGGGAGGTCGTGAGGGCGGAACCCTCCTCGCGCACGGGAGGTCGTGAGGGCGGAACCCTCGCACACGGAAAGTCTTGAGGGCGGAACCCTGAGGCCGGAACCCTCCTCGCGCACGGGAGGTCCTGAGCCGGAACCTTCCGCGCGCACGGGAGGTCGTGAGGGCGGAACCCTCCTCGCGCACGGGAGGTCCTGAGGCCGGAACCCTCCTCGCGCACCGGAGGTCGTGAGAGCGGAACCGTCCTCGCGCACGGGAGGTCCTGAGGCCGGAACCCTCCTCGCGCAAGGGAGGTCGTGAGGGCGGAACCCTCCGCGCGCACGGGAGGTCGTGAGGGCGGAACCCTCCGCGCGCACGGGAGGTCCTGAGGCCGGAACCCTCCTCGCGCACGGGAGGTCGTGAGGGCGGAACCGTTGTACGTGGAATTCTTGCTCATATTAAAGAGACCAAAGAACGCCCTTGCTCCTTCTACTACGTGAGGGCACAGAGAGGAGACAGCCACCATCTGTGAACCAGGAAGCCCCCACCAGGCGCTGAATCTGCTCCTGCCTTGATGTTAGACTTGCAGGCTCCAAAACTGTGAGCAATGAATTTTGTTGTTTATAAACCACTCTTTTTGGTATTTCGTTATGGCAACCCTAATGAACTAAGACAGTAATTTATTTCCCCAAACCTTTCCAGCTAACGTGGGCACTCGAGCGGATTTTCAGAACGTAGAACTTGCTGGTTTACTCCCTATTCCCCAGATACCTACTGACAGCAGGCCCAGCATGGAAGCCCGTGCTACCATTTAAGTAGGAATAAGCTGACCTCAAGTTTACAGGCTGGGAGTAAAGTGAACCTTAATCAAGTAATCATTCTAGCAGGGTTGTAATTACAAGGCACATATTCTCTTTTTTGTGTGTGGAGGATTTGAAATTTGGAAGGTGCTGAGGTGAGAGGGAACACGGCGCCTTTGAGGAAGGTTCAGTGTGGACAAATGCGGGAAGTAGGGGACCCATAGGGTAGGTGACGGCGAGACAGCCAGAGGGAGCCCAAGAATAGGGTCTGTAGATGGTAAAGGGTCAGTGGTTATCCCGGGAGGAGTGGAAACAAATAACAAGCTCCCTCTGCACACACGTTCAGGCCTTGGGGAGGCACAAGAAGGCCATGAAGTGGGTGCTGGGTTGTGTGGCACTGACCACTGCCCATGTAGACAAGGAGACTGCAGGCCAGCTACAACAAGCACCAGGCCCAGCACCCACCTTCAGCAGCCGCCCTCCCTTCTAAGTGCTTGTGTTCAGCCCTATCTGGAGGGGGAGTCTGGAAACGTAGGTCTCGCTTGGCTTCATTGAGATGGACCAAAACCACCCACACGCGTGCCTCTCAGCTCGCTTCCATACCCACCTCTTTGAACTTTACTTTTGGGACATTTTTTTTAAACTTTTATTTTAGTCCATGGATACATGTGCAGGTTTGTGGTACAGATAAACTCATGTCACAGGGGGTTTATTGTAAAGATTATTTTGTCACTCAGGTATTAAGACAAATACCAGTGGTTATTTTTTTTTTTGATTCTCTGCCTTCTCCCATCCTCCACCCTCAAGGAAGCCCCAGTTTCTGTTGTTCCCTTCGTGTCCATGTGTTCTCATCATTTAGCTCCCCCTTATAAGTGAGAGTATGCAATATTTGGTTTCTGTTCCTGGGTTAGTTTGCTATGGGTAATGTCCTCCAGCTCCATCCATGTTCCTGCAAAGGACATAATCTCATTCTTTTTATTTTTTTATGGCTGTGTAGTATTCTATGGTATATATGTACCACATTTCCTTTATTTTCTCTGTCACTGATGGGCATTTAAGCTGATTCCCTGTCTCTACTGTTGTGAAGAGTGCTGCTATGAACATTCATGTCTATTTGTCATTATGGTAGAATGATTTTTATTTATCTGGATATATGCTCCCTAATTGGTTTTCTGGGTTGAAAAGTATTTCTGCTTTTAGCTCTTTAAGAAATGGCCATACTGCTTTTCACAATGGTTGAACTAACTTACACGTCCATCAACAATATATAAGTATTCCCCTTTTCTCCACAACCTCACCAGCATCTGTTGTTTTTTGACTTTTTAATAATATCCATTTTGACTTGTGTGAGATGGTATCTCATTGTGGTTTGATTTGCATTTCTCTAATAACCAGTCACGTTAAGCTTTTTTTTTCTTATGCTTTTTGGCTGCATGTCTGTATTCATTTGTAAAGTGTCTGTTCATGTTCTTTGACCGCTTTTTAATGGGCCGGTTTGTTTTATTCTTGTAAATTTGTTTAAGTTCCTTATAGATGCTGGATATTAGACCTTTTCAGATGTATCGTTTCCCAAAATTTTCTCCCGTTCTGTAGATTGTTTACTCTATTAATAGTTTCTTTTGCTATACAGAAGGTCTTTAGCTTTAATAGATCTCATTTGTCAATTTTTGCTTTTGATGACACTCTCATGTATGGTCGAAGTGAGTAGAAATTATCGCAGCCTTCAGGAGAATTCTTTGTTATTAACTTCCAATAATTAAAAGGCACACATGCTTTTGCTAGCAATGTCCTGTCAAGAAATTTTCTTCATAGATGCTCACTCACGTAACCTAATATCTACAATTTATACTGATAATGGTTTGAATGTGTGTCCCTGCTCAAATCTCACGTCGAATTTGAGGACGGTCCTGGTGGGAGGTGATTGGGTCATGGGGTGGATTTCCCCCTTGCAGCTCTTGTGACAGTGAGAGAGTTCCCATGAGATCTGGTGGTTTAAAAGTGTGTGGCACTTATCCCTCACTCTCTCTCTTCTGCTGCCATGTGAAGAAGGTGCTTGCTTTCTATTTGACTTCTGCCATGATTTTAAGTTTTTGAGGTCTCCTAGTAATGTTTCCTGTTAGGCCCACAGAACCATGAATCAATTAAACCTATTTTCTTCATAAATTACCCAGTCTCAGGTAGTTCTTTATAGCAGTGTGAGAACGAACTAACACAGAAAATCGTTGCCAGAAGAGTGGGGGACTTTGGAGCTGAGTAATGGGGAGAGGTTGAAACAGCTTGCAGGGCTCAGAAGAAGACAGGAAAATGTGAGAAGGTTTGGAATTTCTTAGAGACGTGTTGAATAGTTTTGACCAAAATTCTGATAGTAATATGCACAATGAAGTCCAGGCTGTGTTGGTCTCAGATGGAGATGACGAACTTACTGGGAGCTAGAGTAAAGGTCACTCTTACTATGCTTTAGCAAAGAGGTTGATGGTATTTCGCCCCTGCCCTAGAGATCTGTGGAACTTTAAACTTGAGAAAGATGATTTAGGGTACCTGGCAGAAGAAATTTCTAGAATTTCTAGGCAGCAAAGCACTCAAGATGTGACCTGGCTGTTTCTAAAAGAGTATGATTGTATGCATGAACAAAGAGATACTCTGAAGCTAGAACTTACCATTAAACAGGGAGCAGAACATAAAAGTTTGGAAAATTTGCAGCCTGACCATGTAGTAGAAAATAAAAACCCATTTTCCAGGGAGAAATTCAAGCCTGCTGCAGAAATGTGCATAAGTAAAGAGAAACAGAATGTGAATTGCCTAGACAATGGGGAAAATGTCTTCAAGGCATGTCAGAAACTGCTGTGACAGTCCCTCCCATCACAGGCTTAGAGGCTTAGGAGGGAAGAATGGTTTTGTGAGCCACACCCAGGATCCAGCTGCTCTGTGTGGCCACATGTCATGGTGCCTTGTGTCCCAGCGGCTCCAGCTTCAGCCGTGGTTAAACAGGGCCAAGGTACAGCCTGGGCTGTTGCTTCAGTGGGTATAAACTCCAAGCCTTGACAGCTTCCACATAGTGTTGGACCTGCAGGTGTGCAAAAGGTAAGAACTGAGGTTTTGGAGCCTCTGCCTAGATTTCAGAGGATGTATGGAAATGCCTGGATGTTCAGGGCAAAGTCTGCTGCAGGGGCAGGGCCCTCGTGGAGAACCTGTGCTAGGGGAGTGTGATAGGGAAATGTGGGGTTGGAGTCTCCACACAGAGTCCCCCCTGGGACACTGCCTAGTGGAGCTGTGAGAAGAGGTCTACTGTCCTCCAGGCCCCAGAATGACAGATCCATCAACACTTTGCACTGTGTGCCTAGAAAAGTCCCAGGCACTCAACACCAGCCTATGACAGCAGCCCTGGGGGCCATACCCTGCAGAGCCACAGGGGTGGAGCTGCCTAAGGCCTTGGGAGCCCACCTTTTGCAACAGCATGTCCTGGATGTGAGACATGGAGTCAAAGGAGATTATTTTGGAGCTTTAAGATTTAAAGACTGCTCTGCTGGTTTTCTAACTTGCATGGGGCCTTGTAGCCCTTTGTTTTGACCAATTTCACCCATTTGAGGTGTGAGCATTTATCCAATGCCTGTACTCTCATTGTATCTTGGAAGTAACTAACTTGTTTTGATTTTATAGGCTCATAGGTGGAAGGGACTTAACTTTGTCTCAAACGGGACTTTGGACCTTGGACTTTTGAGTTCATGCTGAAGTGAGTTAAGAATGGGGGACTGTTAAGAGAAGATCATTGTAATTTGCAATATGAGAAGGACATGAAATTTGGGAGGGGCCAGGGGAGGAATGATATGGTTTGGATTTGTGTGCCTGCTCAAATCTCATGTTGAATTGGAGGAAGGACCTGGTAGGAGGTGATTGGATCATGGGGGTGGATCTTTCCCTTTCTGTTCTCATGATAGTGAGTGAGTTCTCACGAGATCTGATGGTTGAAAAGTGTGTGGCACTTCCCCCTAGCTCTCTCCCTCTCCTGACACCATGTGAAGAAGGTTCTTGCATCCCCTTCACCTTCCTCCATAGTGTAAGTTTCTTGAGGCCTCCCAGCCATGCTTCCTGTTAAGCCTTCAGAACTGAGTCAATTAAACCTCTTTTCTTCATGAATTACCCAGTCTCAGGTAGTTCTTTATAGCAGCGTGAGAACGGACTAATACATATACACACATTTATGATTATAAATACTATTTTAATACATAATACCTGTAGTGCATATATATAGCACATGTGTGTGTGTGTATATATATACGTATATACACACATAGCACATACGTAATGTATTGCAGCAGTATTTAATCATGAATAACAGGAACTGTGCAACCCTAAATGTGTGGTTTTAAGTGATTTGATTTTTGTAGGCAGCCGTAGGGAACTTATAAACTCCAAATATCCACTGATATATTCATATCAAAATTAGGAAGCAACCTCATGACTATCACAATCTTCACATCTGCAATTTCATCTGCTGTGAGAAGAGTTTCTGGGCAGAAGTGACGTATAAAATACCCCAGCTGTAAATAAGGCAATGGGTGTTTCTACTGCTAGAAACTGAAATGGCTGCAACAGATAACATGGCAATTGTTCTCATCGAGACATAAATTTAAGCTCTGGCTTTTCTGATCACCCAGCTGTGTGTGTAACTGTGTGTGTGTGTTTGCGTGCGTATGTGCATGTGTCTGCATGCATGCATGTGAATGTGTACCTGCACATGAGCTAGTAGAATTATCATGGGCCTGCAGAAAAGGCACAGTTTCAGTGATCAGCCACATCCGT